GTGGGAGGGACACTGCTGTTGAGATCCCTAGAACAAAGCTGTTAGCCAAGAAAAAGACCACATCTTTAGAGTGGAAATCCCATTTCCAAGCAAGCCAGGGACAAATGTTCATTAGAGAGAGATTTCTCTCACAGGCCACCTTACTGACTGATGGGATTGCCACCATGTCTCCTTGGAAAACATGAAGAGACATGAAAAATACAGGGCTAATTGGTTCCTCTTTTTGCGCCCTCCACAAGTAGCTTCATACCTTCTGTTCACTAAGTGGGGTGGAATATTTCTACCCGCTTCCTACCAGGCACAGGCACTTGAGTATCACTCAGCCTCATGCACAACCAGTGAGGAGGATCTGGTCCAGCTCTGCACCTCTGCATAACAACATTCCTGCCTCTTTTTGGTTTTCTGTCTCTAAAGGAGAGCTCTCAAAGCAATCAAATTGATTTTAATTTGTTTTTAAAGGGAAGAAGAGAAACAGCTTAGAGGTTGAAAATGTGCAGTGAACAAAACAGCTGTACTGTAAACCTCTGAAAAAGCATACTTTACAATGGTAATTATGACAGATTAAACGAGTGTCATCAGTGTGATGGTACAATGCACACAATACTAACTGTTTCCTTACACAAATATTTGCAGACATCTCCAATTTTTTATTTTAATGAAATCTCATCTAACTATTGAATTGACTTTAAGAACCATCCTGAGGCTCATGAGAGCTTTCACTGTCAGAAGCTCTGTCAGATATCTGAACTGCAATTTGCCCCCAGTGGTTCCCAGCTTGAGCTAGAGAAATGTTGTAATGTAGCTTTTTAGGATGTGGCAAGTCTGAAAAATCACTGCCTACGGAGAAAATGCTAAACCCTGAGAGGGGCTGAGGACCTATCCCTGATCTACAGTTACAAAAGGAACTGTAAGAACCCCCACAACTTGAAGAAAACTTTTGGTATAGATTTTCGCTGCTTCTCAAACATATGCCCACAACTGTGCCACTGTGTGATTAAGCTGTCCTCTTTGGATGGCTAAGCACCTGGAATCCTTTCATCATTCAGTATATATGTGCATGACAAGTATGGGCTGCAACCATGAAGCCAGAGAAAATAAAGCAATCCCTTTAAGATCTTACTGAGAGCTTCCCAGCTACTGAATGGGAAGTAACAGGATTTACACAATGATACATTAATTAATGCTAAATGACAGCATGCAAACCCATGGGGTTTCCATTAATAGCAAATGAGTCCATGATGGTTTATATCAAATAAAAGGAAAGACTGATGGTAAAGCCTCCATGTGCTAATGACACCCAGTTATTTAAGGAAATTGGCTTTGCGTGTTGCTGGCTATTATGGAAAGAATATTCAGCAGGTTGAATCCTGAGGTTGACCCTTCACTATTGTTTTGTTTTAAGCAAAAATGTCCATTGGCTTTAATAAGAACTTTTTTTAAATGAAGGAAATCACCTCAGATGTGACCCTTATGGATATGGCTCATTGTCATGTTCAATATAGTTGTCTAAGCTCCTGTATTTGTGACATCCTGCTTCCTGTTGGCTCTCACAGTGTCATTCCCTCTAAAGTATTTGCCAGATTTTCCCATGTTTCCTTTAAATGTCTGCTTGGAATGAGTATCCCCAGATCCAAGGAATATGATGAGGACTGCTCAGTGCAGGAGAAGCTGTATTTTGCCACAGTCCCATTAATCCTCGAAGAAATTTGGAATCAGAAGACAAGCTGGCATGGGTTGTATTTCCAAGCTGGCTGTGAAAGCCACGGATTCACACATATCTTAAAGGCCAACCATTTCCCTGCCACGAGGTAATGAGAAAACAATCCTGTGTGTCACCCCTGCTGACTCTGCAAAAGTAACTCTGCCATAAGCCTTAACTCTCACGTCTCTGAGAAAGTAAAACACTAAGCATGGCAATGAAATCATTCAAAAGACAGGAAACAGACTGGTGTTTGCCAAATGGCCACTCAACTAGGCAAATAATGTTTATTTTAACACTCCCAAAGTCTGCTAAAGATAGTAGAGAATGAAAATAAACATGAGAGTTATCATACTTAAGTAAGAGGAGTTAACAAGCATCTTTAGGGTAGCAACACAAGGGAGGTGTCTTGGAGCTGTACCTCTGAATAGATTCTGTACCAGCTGTTCTGACCACACAACTGATAGGGCACTTTGTGGACAGGAGAGTACACCCTGAGAAGGGGGGAGAAACCACCGTATCCTTCATTTTGATGGATATCAAGATGCCTGTGCCAATAATATCATTGCAACTGTTCCTAGGCTAGCAGCCCATACATCACTAGGTCTAGATCAGCAGATTAAGGATCATGAAGTAGAATTTGGATAAAGGAAACAGCAAAGTTCCCTGAAAAACTCTGCACAATATACAGAAATGTATGCAAACAGTCATTTCTCGATAGATTTAAGATTCTCATGTGACTTCATTCCTTTTCAAAACCTCTTCTAGATTCTTCAAGAGAGAAACCTAAATATATTGCAAAAGCCTCAAATGCTTTGCTCACGTATTTTGTAATTTTTCATTCTTCCTGAATTGAAGAAGAGGGTTCATGAAAACTGAGTGTTATCAAAGGCTGCCATGCTTATTCCTGAATTTCTTCCTGTTTATTGCCCTTTTGCAAGTGGCTGACTCAACAAACAACTGAGAAAAGACTAAATAAATCTTCTCTGGGTGGCATTTTCAGCTGGAGTATTTTAAGAAGTGCTATTATGTTGCAGCTGAATATTGCAGCAGACTATCTGACCCCCTTCTGAATCAGAGTGCCACCAAGCTAAATATTTGCACAAATTCCAAGCATTGCCCTGCAGATTCTGCACAGAGAAGAGCAATTTTACATCCAGGTGAACAATGGCTCTTTACCTCAGCATTTGATCTGTAAAAAATGCAATCTTTAGAACAACACCAGAGTAAGTAGATTTAATTGTAGATCTACCAAAATCCATGTTTTTCTCAAGATCTCTTTTTTAATAGTCATACTTCTCCATCCATAAAGAGGTCTACAACTGCATAGAGAGATCTCTTTGTGTAGAGAGGTCAATAAATATGAAACTTTACAGAAATTAAGGGGGGAAAAAAGGCATGTCAGAGCCTTCAAAAGATAGATTTGAACCAAAATTGCTGAGTTGCTGCTAATGATACCAATTGTCTGGGCTGGAATTTTCTGAGACAAAATGTTAGTACTTCAAACATACAAATAAGGTCAGTGAAAGACTTCACTGAATCAGCAACATTCCTCAGTCTTCCAGTCTTTTAGAAAAAAGACGAAGAATTGAAGTCTGGCTCTGAGAAAGGAGGACTGAAGAGATTGCACTGAGAAGAACCAGAGCTATTTAAAAAAGATTACTAAATGTAACTAATGTAGATCTTAATTATGTACCTGCTGTCTTTGGAGCAGTAGCAGGTAATGAAACTGGGCTCCATAACCCTGCCTCTCTGAGACATGCCTATTTTCTAAATCATTCTTCTGTGACATGCAATCTAAAGAAGTATTATCAGAAGTCTCCTTAAAATGGTGGTTAGTAGAAACTAGGGCTACTGGAAAGAAAAAGGTCTTTTTTTCTAATTTGCAACTCAAAACAAAAATGTTGTTTTCTGTTTATTTTAAAGACAACTGTGCTTTTGCGGCCAGAAGACTGACTTAATAAAACACCCTAACAAGAACAAACTTAAAAGCCAATACCCTGTTCTATTTAAATAATTCTTTTGTCACTAACTCACTGGCTGATCTTACACAGCTTATTAACACCTATAGTTTTCACAAGTATCCAGTAATTTTTATTAATATCATCTGTGCAGAATGAAATACAGGAATAGGTCTGATTTTCAGGGACATGAAACTGCAAATATCAGTTTCATATGAAACTGTTGGGAGTGCAGAGGCTCAGCATTTTAAAACAAGGCTTTGGTTCCTCCATAATTTACTCCCTAACTCCAGTCACAGTTACCACACACAAAGATGCATCTTTGCCTACACGGGTTGGAAGTTTCAAAATCAAGAGATTAGAAATCTTGGACTAAAGATCATAGTCACACTTTGCCCATCTGTAAAAAGGGCAAAATGTCTATCTATTGTCTTCCTGGGGGGCCTTGAGAGCAACTACTTGACCCCTGTTAAATACATCTGTTGCTTTCAGTGTATCAGGGAGTCTTCTGTCATTCTCCTCTTATGGAGAATGACAACTAAACTGTCAGGCCCTCCTGGGATGGGAACGTGCTGAAGGAAAAGGAAACACAAGGAAAGCAGATGACTGATGGCAGGAGATGAATGTGACAGCAAAATGAACTGGCCATTTGTTTCATCTGACACAATGCCAGTACAATGGCAACATCTGAACACTAGCAGCCTGGATGGCAGACAACTTGTAGCTCTTAGACTCATGTGCTTAGAATAGAGGCAGGGAGGAACTGAGAAGAACGTAATTATATTTACTTCTTAAGCCCTGTTCACAACTCAGAGGTCAAACTCCTTAACTCTCGTCTCAGACGTAACAGCTGATGAAACGTGTCCTTTAAATAATAATGATCAAGGGACCTGAGAAACAGGGAATAAAAAGAAAGGGAGAGGGGATGGTCTTCCTTTTAGTTACTTCCCTTTGATGGCAAATGGTGAGGGTGTACTGTAACTTTAACCGAACACCAGCAGTTTAGGATGGTCTTAGAGTCAATTTACTAATTTTCTTGACAGCTTGGCCAGTACTTGCTGTGCATGTGGCAAGGAGACTCTGGTGTATGGGAAGGGTGGTCAGAGAGGGATGGGCGCTCTCTTTCCCAGGCAGGAGGTGAGGAGTGAGATTCTCTGCAAGTGCATCAACTGCAACTCCTACTTCACATGCAGACAGGAGAGAAAATAGGAATTTACCAATGCATGTCGAAGGCACTCAGGCATTACAGAGATGGAAGCATTAAATATCAAGAGGTGACATTTAGAGCTGATTAGAAAACCTAATTAATGTAGAACCAGTTTTTGAAATCTCAGATATATATGGGCCCTCAACTGTGGAGTCTTCTGCACACAGCCCTTGGCACAGACCTCGATGTTTCTCTCGGGGTGGGAAGAGGCCGCAAAGAAGCAGAAAACAGTTTAACGTCCCTCCCTGCCTCCACAAGCACTCCTGCTGACTGCCGGAGCTCAGGGTGCCATCCCACCCCTGTTCCTGGGGCTGCTACTCGTGATCCACAGTGGGGAAAACACAACCAGGCCCTTCAGGGCCGCCGGCAAGGGCACGACGGCAGCCGCCACGCCACACACGGCGCTTGTGAGTAGACACCAGGGAGCACTTGGCTGCCACCGGCCGCTCCCGCT